ATCCTGGATTCTGTCAGACTCATCGCGACGTCGCCGCAAGCCATTCGGATGCTCATTTCGTCGTTTCGGGGTGATGTGGTTTGCGTCGTGGTGTTGGTTGCGGGGTTGGTGGCGGAGTCGTCGATGAAGTTGCGGACATAGAGCTGAGGCCCCAACACCCTCGCCTCAAGTTGCGAACATCAAATCGACCGACTGCGTACAGCGCCTATGCCTGCCCTCGCTAGGCACGGAGACGCTCGGTACTGCAGCACAGCTGAGATCATACCAAAGTCTACATCGGGGGACGTCTCAGTGCACTTGCTAAAGGCTATCCCTTGTCTCAGACCGGATGATGACCGCAACGCATCAATAATCGTGGCTGGCCAAGTCGACATCCGTAACACGTTGACAAGGCTGCACTCAGCCTGCAAGTAAAGATTGCACCGACCGCATGTGCCGCTAAGTCTAGAAGGCTGCGGTCACCGGAGCAAGTCAAGCTTGAGACATGCACGTGTGATCATGATATGCTGTTGAATCTCCTTGCATCCCAGCACAGAGTTCTGATGTCATTATCTGGCAGTACCAGTCTCGTTGGCTGCGTACTAACCCCTGAGTCGGGATTCATTCATGGAGGATGGACGCATGTCTGCAACCATGTTATACATTCTGCATCAGGATGAGCATTGCTCAGAAACGGTATTCAATATCGGCTCTGTGATCCTGTTGTTGAACAGACTAGAAGCTGGTGGATGGCACTACAAAGTCCAGAGATCGCAGTCGATCAGATGCCATCTGCACGAAGTCAAAGGAAGTCACGAAAAGGACACAATCATAAGGGCTAATAAGTCTCTTGCTCGTACATACCGCACATTCGACTGGAATTACGTACAAGCCTCGCCGAAGCCATAAAGTGCATTGTCTTATACTCGGTCATGGGTTGGAAGACGTCTAGCCAACACCCGTAACATTACCTTCTTGTCGGATGCTGGAGAACGAGAGTCGAGCGATCGACTCGCAGTTGACCCTGCTGGGTGAAGGAGCGCGATGTCCTGCGCCCGCCCAATCGCCCGCCCACCAACAGTGAAGCCACAAATCCAAAATCTACAAGGCACACGAACCAACTAAGGTCCGTTGGATATATAAATAAAGTAAATCGTCTCTATTTCACTAACTAGTGGACACAGGAAAGGATGTAGGTGCCGCGGGCACCGAACCTTTTGCTGCTTCCGCAATCATATCTTGTTTTTTTGCCCCCGCGTTCGACTCTTCCTGGAGGCAAACAATAAGTCAAAGGGCTCGCTTTTTGCCCGCCCCTTCACCTCGGCTCCGCGGTCTCTGTTGTGCGCAGACGAATGTTTTCACCGCGCGTCACTGGCTTTGCGGACATTGCGGTCCACCTCATTTTTGTTCCTGGAAGCGCCCGTAAACGGGACTCCACAAATTCGTGTCAGCATATTATGTTGGACATGTCTCTCCCGACTTTGCTGGCTATATATTTGCAAATATTCGTCGTTGTTCCACTAACTCGTGAAACTAGGAGAGAGTAGGGCCCCCTCTTGGGGGTCGCCGAACTCTTTGCTCCCACGTTCGAATCCGCGCATGCTCGACGTTAAGTTGAGTTTCTTGTTTTTTGCTCGCGGGGGCTAATTGAGCGCGACTGGCTGCATTACTGCACACGTGCCGTGCCGCCTAATGCCGTAGCTTAATAGCATGTGAGCGATTTGGCGCATTCTAGATCTATTATGAGAGATTCTCGACAGAGACATAGTAAGCATGCGGCACGGAGACTCTTGCAGAACGGCAGCGAGAAGACTGTTAAGGTTACCGGCACCACCAATAGCACAGGAGACGTGCCACATGCAGTAGACAAAACGTGATACAGTCGAGCAGCTATGCTCGATGACGACCCTGGCAAGTATCGCAATGGCGGCAGCTGGCACTAAATGAATAGGAGCCTGCTGTGTACATCATGAGAAGACAGGCCGTTCGAAGGACTTGATGACTTCGGATGGCCGGGGGCGGTCGAGGACTTAATGTTCCCTTTCAGCCGCGATACCCCACAAGAGTGTATTTTTTTAGATGAATAGTCCTGGATCGCGCGACACGATCTGCCGATACTGGACTGTGCAATTCGTACATGATGTCTGGAAGTTGAAACTCCACGAGATCATGGTGGGGCGAAATTGGCCGATGCGGCGTTAGTACCACGCTAAGACAGCTTCACCAAACCTCATCACGGCGGAGAGAGGCTCAACGACTGCGATCAGAAGACATATCGACTGAGACTATTGCATGGAAAGATGCAGCTTTCAAGAATTTGGGATCATTTTTCATGCCCTGACATATTTCGACAGAGCCATTTTACCGGCTGCGGCTACAGGCCGTCATCCTTCGCTGTCCTTGCCTTCGACCACGCCAACACAATCTGAGAAGTCGTCCTCACACTTCCACGAACGAGGAACTCGATCTCTCAAGGCTCGCAGGAACCTCCTGTGGCCTGTGCCCATGCAAGCATCAGCCACCGCCTGATACCTGTTGATATCTCCAGAGCTTCCCTCTTCTATGTCTTGAGTTCGAGTATAGTCGAGCAAATATAGCTGCTCAGCAACATCGAGAAGATCTGACCGAGCTTGAGTGGCCATTAACTCCAACATGGCTTCAAAGTCTGTAGGCGACATGTCGAAGAGCTCTGCGCGGCCACCGACATCCTCGACAACCTTGTGTATAGCGTTGTCCAATGTCCGAATGTATGCCTCCATTTCTAGAGCGCGAATTGGTGTACGTCCAACATCCTTCTCCTCCTCCAATTGACATTCGTAGTAATGGTAGCCAAGGCTCGTAAAGGATAGTGTCTTGGATTCCGGGCTAAGGGCATGATAGACACCTGCGTCCCTAAGCCTCTGGTCACGACCGTACTGAGCTGCTGTGGGGTCAAGGTACGTTCCGGTACCGTTCAACCGGGCGGGCTTCTCTGGGCGACAGAGGTTGTGTTCGTCGGTCGGTGTGATCCTGAACATGGAGTGCCAAGCGGCGACGGGTAGTGTGAGCGTAGCCGTTTCCGAGCCTTCCTCCTGCCAGTAGGTGACCTCTACCTCTTGGTCGGACTGGACGTTGTCGACGTGGGCTTCGTGTACTTCTATCGAGGTGGTAAGACCTGAAGACGTTAGCCTTAGTTTGGGTCTCGCTGAATGTAATGGCGGACACAAACCTTCGGTGAAGAAAGCCACTGTCGGGGCGAAGGCCTTCAGAACAAGGACACACTTGTTGTGTGACAGATAGGCATGCCTTGCCTTGAGGGGAAAGGATTGGTTCTCCAGTACTGATACCTCGCCTGGATGGCCTTCGACATTGCGCACTCCTATCCAGAGTGAACTTCCGCTCTCGTCGGCAACCTCATACATGACCGACAAGCGGTTCGTCGCGTCGCCGAATTCGAGAAACAGGCGGTTGACGATGCGGTCGACGCGATACAGATCCCGCTCCGCCCTCTCCTGGACGTGAGTGCGGACGCTGCGGTATCCGCCATCTTCGAAGCAGACAGGAACCCCTGGATGGTCTGCCATTGTGGCTTGCGGTTTGGAGTAGGTTTCGAGCGTGCGAGAGCGCATAGATTGACGGCGGCCGGAATGTGTTATGGGTGTCACGGAGGTGAGAGATATCGCGCGATCTGGGAAGGGAATAGCGGGGTTTGTGTCCAAAATGTCGTTCAGAGGAGACGGTGCACGAGCGGAGCGAAAAGAAGGGTCCAACTGTCTCACTTTATCACTCCTGTCACTGTCACCGCCGACGACTTGTCCGCACAGAACCAATCCCTGAACAACGCCGACGATGTCCTCTTCCAGCGCACCTTCAACAGCCGGACTCACGATCGAAGAGAGTCTCGAACTCTTCCTCATCGCATTCAACGCCGCCGTGGCCGCATTTCGCCCATTCTCTGTCACTTCCTTTGGCGCCAGCAATCTTGGCGACGACCATATACTGGTGACACGCGATCGCCAAAGCCACGGCCAAGTGCCCGTAGGGACCTCAGAAGCGCTCAAGATCTCTTACAAGAAGCTGAACCTGTGCGACACCTTTTGCACGATCTTCTACGAGGCGGTCGAGACGCGACTACATTGTAAACTCCCTGATCGTAGCTTCCTCGCCGGGCCCCAGTAATTAACATTATCCCTACAGCATACGACGCCGACGTCGAGTATGCTGTAATCGAGAATCCAAGGCCGACCCAAGTCCTCCACATCCGCAACGAAAAGACCTCGATGCCCCATTCGGTCCTTCTCATCCGCAAGCAAGACGAATCCGAGATCATCTTCGATGGCACAGCAGAGCAATTGGGGTGGCCAGTAACAAACGCGATTATAAACGGCGACAAGTTTTGGCATGATTACACCCGTGATGGGCAATACAAACTCGACTTGTATCACAGAGATATGAGTATGGAAGACCACAAAGAGTTTTGCCAGGGATATTGGCACAAAATCGGGATCAGCTTGCGCGAGATGCTGCAGAGCTTCGACTGGGCGATGCTGGAAGGCATGGCGACTAGCGATCGAGAAGACTACGTACGTGGGGAAGCGACGCAAAGGGCCCGGGATGCTGCTCAAGCTTGTTGGGGATAGAGAAGACACATAGTCCTTGGCTAGCTGTCCTATCAGTTGCTTGCCGGCTTGTACGTAGGCAATCTGTACTCTGCAGAGGACAATACATGCCAGGTTTCATGCTGTGGAGGCTCATTGTCAGCCTCAGAAGCTGTTCCATCTACATGATATCAGTGTACTGCGTGAATAGTATACGAGAACAGCTGTTTCGGGCGTGCATATGTTCAATCGTCGGGTACGCCAAGGCTGAAAGTCAACCAGAGAGACATCCCAACATTGCGTAGCTGGGATCAAGCAAAATAATTTGCAGGATACTTGGACTCAGATGAGCTTGTAGAGCTCATCAATGGTGGATGTAAGCACGGGTCAATGAGTTGCGGTGTAATGATTTAATTGGTCTTTGCCCGCGCGCAAAGAAGCTACCTAAGAAATTTGATGCCTCGTCACCTCGAGTCCCGACGCTCGCTCCAAAGACTCCATGACCTTCGCATGACCGGTACCCATGCAGGATTTAGCCAGGGCTTTCCAGTGTGTGTTCCTGTCGAGATTGCCCGGGATGTACTTGTTGTCGAGGTAGCTCGCCAGGACGTCGAGATCCGTCTTGACGGAGCTCAGGATATCATGCTCCAGAGCACCCCACTTGTCATCATTGCCGCTCCTGATGACGTCTTTCCATGCGCAGCCAGTCATCTTCTGATATACCCGATTGTTGACCGTTCGCACGATCGCTTCGGTTCGGAATTCTATGCGCAGGGTGCGGGAACGTAACGAACTGGCTTCGTTCTCGTGAACGCTGTTGAGGTGTCGGGAGTAATTGTATCCCAAAGAGAAGAACTCTATCGGCACTCTCACTTCCTCGTCCGGGTATGCAGGGTATCCCCTGACGGGGTATACGCCCGCGGGTCGTAGGTACTGGGGCGCTGACGGGTCGATGTAGACGCCCTCTCCGTGATCGTTGGGGGAGGTGATTTTGAACACCGTGTGTTTTTGGGCGATCCGCCTTCTCCTGCCGGTCGAGCTCTCGATACAGACGACGGGTTTGATCTCGTAAACCCCGTGTATCTCCACCTCTTCGACATCGATTGGAAGGCGTAGTTCTGCGTCATAGTTTGTTAGTGGTGAGAATCTCTTGTAAACAATCGAAATACTACTCACCCTCGACTAGCCAAGCCAAAAGACCCGCTAGGAGCTTGCACGCAAAGACGCAGTAGTTGTGCGACTTGAATGCTTTGAAGCTCTCGTCTGTCACGGACCTTCGCTCTCGAGCGAGAATTCCGGGACTGATATCCCATTTGAGGCGGAAGCGCAGATGTAGCTGACCGCCCACTTCCCTCGCGCTCAGAAGCTTGCGCTGATCGACCGCTTCTGTGGTCATGGAGAATATGCTGACCATGAGCGCTGTTGTACGAGCGAAGCTCGGGTCTGGCTGCCGCGCTTGCTGGATGTCCATGTTGGCTTGGATTTGCTTGTCGTGTGCGGGTACGACGGGGAAGGTATTGATGAGGAGGCCTTTGGAGATGGAGTGCTCCGGATAGAGAGTAATTCTGGAGACGGGGTGAGGGCGGGGTGGGCGGCGCTCGTCAGTGGTGAAGCAGAGATATTGAGGCTGGTGTTTTGGTCTCGCGCTAGCCCCCCGATACTCCTCCGCCGGACTGACAAACGCACCAACGACTGTCTCTGCCCTAGCCTAATTGCATCTTAATCCAAGATTAATAGCACATGAATAGAGATCTCACGTCAGGAGTCACTTCAGGGGCGCCGTAAGCGTTCATCTGAATAGTCGAACGTGCAGGCTTTGAGGAGGTCAAAAGCGCTATCAAAGAGCATCGCCAGCTCAACAGTTACATGATAGTGCAGTCCAGGAGCGCAAATACAGCGCTACCTACATTCATATCTTTACGTTGCTCCGTGCCTGCCTTCGTGTATGCGCAGAAGGAGACAGTGCTGACAGCCAACACTCTTCTCGGCTCGCAGTACTAATACTATGCTCTCATACTTCTCAAACAAGTCTCATTGAAGGGAATCATTATGCGAGCCCAAAAGGGAAGGCAGGTCAGGGCGGGAGTTGCAAGATGTCCGCTTTGCTACGTCGCGTCACAAAGCTAGCAATGCTGGAGCAGATAGTCTGCATTCTAGGAATCTGCATGAAGCAAAAGTCGACGCTGAAAAGACACAATGCGCTCGTCGCGATCACATCTGGTTAATGTCGACTACTATCGCCAGCGAACACCTGGGAGCTCTTTGTCGGCGTTTTACAGCAGCAGGATGGATGAATGTAGGGGAGATGCTGCAGGCCCCAGATAACGTTGTAAGAATAGAGTAGAAGGCATCTCGTAAGCGTTCTGACTGAGCAGACGCGGAGTGATGCGCAGCAAAGGCAGTGAAGTGCAACTTCGGGAGATGGTGTCACCGAGCAAAAACCTTGGTATAACACTTAGACAAACACTATGAGACTGCCTGCAAGCCACAATAGAACGTGCAGAAGCTCTCCTGGTCGTTATACGAGCAGATCTAGCCAATGTTGTGATGGGGAACGCGTCATTCTCCGCACTGTCACCTAGCCAATCTCCGCACCCCCGCCGCACTTTGTCAGGGAAAAGACAGAACCAAAAAGAACAGTTTGTCTCAACCAGTTTGCTACTCCAGTGAATCGAATTAGCAAAAAAACCTGTATTCATAACTTTATAGTGCCTGGACACTGTCGTGTGGAAGACCTGGATATGTTAGCGGAAGTCTTGTAGGCAAACGGAAGAAGCAACTATCTACCTGCACCATCCTAGTGATGGTGGGCCTAACTACGGTACAAAGTACACATCCTTGCCCCGGATGGTGAAATATAGATCCATTAGATGTATTATATGGTCAAGTGATATCTGCGGGTATAGTGGGGCAGAAGATTTCATTGCCAGTCTCGTGGGGGTGAAGGACTGGCCAGAGCGGGCACAAACATTGAGCTCGTGCCCCTTCTGAGTCCCCCACTCGCTTGGTAAGCCCCGTCGCTTGTTTTGATGAGGCTGCGATAGTCGTGACACCGGCTACTGGTGTTTCACGCGTCACTGAGGATGGCTTCCAGCTTGTCAGCGCTTTTTGACCTGACGATAGCCTTGACTTCATCAATGAGCCTCTCCCGCGCTTAAGCATGCTCTGAGCGATCTCCGCGTCTACAGTATATGCTCCAGGTGCCGTAATATGGTCTGGTCAGCTCCACGAGTTTATGCGCCAGCCTTGATGTTCACATCACGTCACTCCATAAAGCCGGGTGCCATGTGCAATCTCTGTCCTTGCGGCATGTTGAAATCACAAACACGATTTATATCCGTGCCAATTTTCCGGCAGATCTGACCCAGTGGTCTCACGGCATCTAGAAAAATGCTCAGTCTGCCAGCCTGTCGCGCAGCTTGATGCTGGTGACGTTGTTTAACATTCACGTCGTCAATCATCATGTCGAGCTTGGAGGAGACATCATGATATGTACCGTGCTGTATTGATCTGCTGAGCGATTGTATACTGCCACTTTTACTACCGGAGATAGCGCGCAGGCTGATCTCCTTGCGCTGGTCTAACTGCCCCTTGCCCTACGCGCCGGCCTCATTCCTACTTGGCTTCCTTCGAAGTGTCGCCCTGGCTATCGTTCCATATCCTTCGCGTCGATGAGGGAGTTATGGGAAGTCGCGATCGGAAGGTAGGCGTGGCTCTCGGCCAAAGATGACCGAGTTAGTAGTGATCATGTAGAGAATGTAGCGATCTTTCTTCGTGTTTCTCCACACGAGGCCGAGGCGTGAGTAGAGAACAAAAGACTGAGCGACGACGAAGACGAGCCATGAGAGATAGATGAAGACGATGGCCGAGCAAGAGGTATAGCAGTCATGTTGTCCGCGCGGTGGACCTTCAGTCAAAAGGGATGAGGAGCCTGCATCTTGTCAATTCGTTGTTTCCAGACCACGACAATTCGCGTACCAACATGGCCTCCCTAGACCTTCATACCAGAGTCTTCTTCTGGCGGGCGGCATGCATGTATGAGCCAGGCTTGCCATAGCCCTTGTAGTCTGCCACGCTGTTGGAGTGCCACCTGCCCCTCATGGCCTCACGAAGATCTTCGAACACCTGAGCCCATCCAAGTATTCCAGACCTCTGCTGGTACAGTCCCATGCTGCGCGCTATCGTATCGTCCATTTCCTTCTCGGTGACCTTGGCGCCAGCAACGGCCAGGAGCGTCTCCACAGTGCCTGCCTTCTGGAAGACCAGGGCAAGGAGGAGAAGGGGGCTGTCGTCTTCGAACAGATGTGGCGCGTTGATGAGCATCCAGCGGTGCAAGTAGAAGTACCTGAACGAGATCTCCGTGGCGGGCCCGGTCAAAAGCATGTCCGCGTCGGCGCTCGCGTCAGCCTTGTTGGCTTCGTTGAAGGGATAGTCGTGCATGCAGGCGGCCACGCTCGAGACATGGGTTCCGCTGCCCTTCTTAGTGTGGGGAGATGCTCTGATGCGGACGCGACAGAGTGGATGCTGGCCCTTTGGCTTGATCCGACATGCCTCCTCGATGGCTGCAAGAGCGGTGGGCCATTCTTTATCCGCCGCCAATGTCTTCGTCTTCGTGTAGTAGTTCTCTGGAAGAGACCTAGATCTGTGTGTTAGCTAGTTCATTGATGATTTGAGCTTCTGGTGAACTGACTTGAGCTTCGCCATTGGGTCTCCGCCGTAGTGGTTGGCGCAGTCAGTCAGTATTGTCTCCAAGACCTGCTTCTGGGTGACGATGGCCGCCATGTTGTTTGTGGGAAAAGGACTTGACTGGACTTTTAAAAGATGGCGGGTCAGTCCGAAAGTCTGGTCAAAGTTGTAAGTAGACAGGCTACTCTGGGACTATGCGCGTCCCCGTTTGCGCGCTAGTTGTGGCACTTGGACGCCCACACCGGGAGCAGATGTGAAGGCAACTCTCACTATCCTCTCCATCTTCTGCTACCAATCCGATACTTTCCCCCCAAAATCATGGCCACTGAGTCTCCTCAAGCCGGCGTGCGCGTCGCAGCTACCCTTCCAGCCCTTTCTCTTCGCAAGATCCTTCTCGTGCATCTTATCATATTCCAAGAGGCGCTATTTGGCTGCCATGTCTTCGGAATCAGGATATCATGGCTAAACCGAACGTCACGACCCGGCGTTCCGGAAGCGCTCTTCGACTACGATCGATCGGAATTTGGGAGCCCGGATCCAACACGACTGAGCCCGGGCAGTGAATATCGCGCAGTGATCTTCAAGCACTATTGCGAGACATTTTGCATCATGATGAAGCCTTTCGTAACCCGGCAACTCTGTGGTAAGGAACAAGGCCCGTTGGACAGTATGCGCGCTTGAACAGCGACTGACAGCGAGCAGAGCTTCTCGGCATCGGCCACACGGTTACTTGGATCAATTTCATAGCCAAACCGCATTTCCGCATACTCACAGATTGGGCAGAGATGGATGAATTGATATCCCACTCTTGTCTATTGATATCCGATGGTAACGATGGGAACTATGTCTTCGATGGCACTGCCGATCAATATGGACGAGACTGGAAGACACATTGGTTCATGGCACGAGAGGAGCTTGTTGCAAACTTTTTGGATCCCAAGTACTCGGACCCGAGGGACATTTGGACGACGGACGAACAGGGGGAGGTCGCCAAGTGCGAGAGGCTTGAGGGAAAGGATTGCAGCCACGGATATTGGGCGGTCGGATACTGGGTAGTCGCGCGCAGGCGTATGGAGCAGATATTCCAGGAGCTGAACTGGGCATCTCTCCGTGGGCTGTCGGACGACGATGTGGAGGAACGTATCCGTTCCTTGAGCATGGCCAAGTTTGAGGGGGCATTCGAGGAAGCGCAGTTGGATTAGACAAGCCTTCCTTACATTGTCCTCGATCCGCCGACAACTTGGGCACAGTACATAATACAGTAAACTTCCCGTGCATCTTGGTAATCGTAAATCGTCAGTGAAGGTGCTCCAGAACTGACAGGGATGCACCGACGTACCTTTGGCGCTAATATCCAAGGACAAATTGTGGCTGCTCCTCCGTACCCTCACTGCCTCCAGGACACCGAAACACTCGAGCAGAAGCCGTCCTCCTGCTCACATCTCCATCATGACACCGGTCAATCCCACCACCACCGCACCACCTCTGTCCCTGGAAGAGGTCCTGCACGTTTACCTACGTTGTTTCGACGCCGCCGCTGACGCCGCCCCACGAGCCTCAGCCGCATACGCACGGGCGTACAGAGCCAACTCCGTGCCATTCAAAGTGTGGCAAGTCTGGTCGACCGAAGACCTGAAGACCGACCCGCCCAAAAAGCTTGAACGCTTCTCCTTCCTGCCGCCGGGGCTCAACGAAGCACTCGCGCGGCAAAACATGTGTGATTGGTTCTGCATGGTCCTCGAGGAGGAGGTGGATAAGAAGGTCGGGGAATTGTTCCGTGGGCGCGCAGAATGGTTGAGATGTTGGCCGAGGGTCAACTTCATGACATCTTGGCGCAGTCTGAGGCATAGGCCCGTCGCGGTGCTAATGCACTCGGTCCTGCGAGTTACGACAGAAGACGGCCAGATGGTGGTCATGGACGGTACCCTGAGGCAATTTCGTTGGGCGCAGTCGACTTGGCTCCAAACATGGACACAGTGGTGCGCCAAACGCCTAGACACTACCAAGGGGGACAATGGCTGGCATTTCGTTTCGAGCGAAGCGAAGCAGGAGGTATGCGAGTACTCTGTGGATGTAGCAGAGGGTTACTGGGCTACTATCTTCTGGA